AGGTTTTTTTTTTTTTTTTTTTGTATGCAAATAGAGTTCCCCACCTCCCCCAGGTGAAGTTTCCACTAAATGAAAGTTTTGTATGTGATATTTTAATGTGAATCTACTCCTCAAATGCATTCATGTGTCTCATGATTTTAATGTTATTTAAACTTGATATGGATCTCAAATATTTTAATCACTTTTATAAATGCTTGTCTGGTACTTTAATCTTCAACCTAAGGAAGACATAGAAAGAGATTCGTTGAGGTTGTTTTTTACCATTTTGACCATTTTTGTTATTCTCGTTTTAAGATACTCATAATTTTTAGAGCTTGTTCTTCCTCATAAACATGGTTATATATGTGTTGCTCATGCACTAAGAGACTACTTTGTAACTCATCAATGGATAAGGAATCTAGATCATTAGACTCCTCAGTCGAGCAAACGACATAGTCGAACTGTGAGAGTACCATATTGGTTGGGGAAGAGAACGAAACACCCTTTATAAGCTTGTGAGAGTACCACATTGGTTGGGGAGGAGAATGAAACACCCTTTACAAGGGCGTGAGAGTACCACATTGGTTGGGGAGGAGAATGAAACACCCTTTATAAGGGTGTGAGAGTACCACATTCGTTTTCCTCCCCTAACAGACACGTTTTAAAGCCTGGAGGGGAAGTCGGAAAGCCCAAAAAGTACAATATCTGCTAGCGGTGGAATTGAGCTATTACACGAACTTACAAGTCAGCAAAGAGCTTGCCATTGTACATGTTTGAATCAAGCGGTTCTGATATGAACCAAGAGACATCAATCATACAATATACTTCAATGAAGATGTGAAGAAAAGGTTGTCAAGTACATGTTTGAATCAAGCGGTTCAGATATGAACCAAGAGACATCAATCATACAATATACTTCAATGAAGATGTGAAGAAAAGATTGTCAAAATTATCAAAAGATGTTTCAATTCATGCTACATTGAAGAAGAATAAAGTTTGATTGTTGTGAAGATGTGAAGAAAAGGTTGTCAAAATTATCAAAAGATGTTTCAATTCATGCTACATTGAAGAAGAATAAAGTTTGATTGTTGTAAATTTTGGGTGGGTTACAATTTAGAGTTATTGTATTTTAAGACTTTTTATTTAATTTCGGTTACATTTACATAATGGCTAATTATGGCCATAAAGTGTGAATGTTACAACTTTTGGAATGCCTTTAATAGTTTCATTTTGAGGCTATATAAAGCCATCTATGTTGTATTTGTAATGAGACTTGGAAAATATATTAAAAGAAGCATTTGTGCTTTTCTTTAGCCAATGGCTAAGTTTCTTTGCAATTCTATGTAGTTTAGATTGCATGTAGAATCATTCAAGCTCGACATGATCAATCTTGCTTGTGGAGTGATTCGAATCTCAATCAAGTGTTCTTGTCTTGAGATATTTGATCAACAAGAATCATTGAAGCTAGACATGATCGATCTTGCTTCTGGAGTGATTCGAATCTCAAACAAAGTATTCTTGGCTTGAGATATTCGATCAACAAGGTAATCCGAATCTTATTCCCCTTGTATTGATTCCTTATCTTATCATTTGGTATCAGAGCTTCAGGCTCAAGATCGGATATATGTTTCCTTTGCGTTTCTTCTCAATTTAATTTTTATTTATTTTCATCTTTTTAGTTTTTAATCGACCCAAAGTTCAAAATTCAATCTTTGCTCTATTTAAAATTTTGAGAGGTGAGAATGAGAGCTTCATTTGTGTAAATGAGTGCAAACAGAGTGGCCTAAAATTCCTTGAGTGTATACACGTGAGAGAGTGTTGTGAGGTCCTTTGTATTTCCATAACTTATTTTTTGCAGCAAAGTTTCACAAATAGATTCGAGGACGAATCCTCTTGAAGAAGTGGAGAATGATATGAACCAAGAGACATCAATCATACAATATACTTCAATGAAGATGTGAAGAAAAGGTTGTCAAAATTATCAAAAGATGTTTCAATTCATGCTACATTGAAGAAGAATAAAGTTTGATTGTTGTAAATTTTGGGTGGGTTACAATTTAGAGTAATTTAGAGTTATTGTTTTTTAAGACATTTTATTTAATTTAGGTTACATTGGCTGATTAATGGCTAATTATGGTCATTAAGTATGAATGTTACCACTCTTGGAATAGTTTCATTTTGAGGCTATATAAAGTCATGTATGTTGTATTTGTAATGAGACTTGGAAAATATATTAAAAGAAGCATTTGTGCTTTTCTTTAGCCAATAGCTAAGTTTCTTTGCAATTCTATGTAGTTTAGATTGCATGTAGAATCATTCAAGCTCGACATGATCAATCTTGCTTGTGGAGTGATTCGAATCTCAAACAAGTGTTTGAGATATTTGATCAACAAGAATCATTCAAGCTCGACATGATCAATCTTGCTTGTGGAGTGATTCGAATCTCAATCAAGTGTTCTTGTCTTGAGATATTTGATCAACAAGAATCATTGAAGCTAGACATGATCGATCTTGCTTCTGGAGTGATTCGAATCTCAAACAAAGTATTCTTGGCTTGAGATATTCGATCAACAAGGTAATCCGAATCTTATTTCCCTTGTATTGTTCTAAGTAAACCTAAAACAAAATCCATTGATATATCAATCCAAGGACCATTAGGAACTGGTAATAGGGAGTATAAACCATGTGGTTGAAGCCTAGACTTAGCTTGTTTACATGCTATGCAACGAGCACAAACTTTATGAACATCATGTCTCATTTTAGGCAAAAAAAAAAGTTCAAAGAGCATATCATAAGTTTTAGAAATTCCATGGTATGCCATTAAACCACCTCCATGAGCTTCCCTCACAAGTAGCTCACGTATGGAACAAGATGGTATGCAAAGTTTGCCTTTTCGGAACAAAAATCCATCTAACAACAAGTAATTATCCATAATGAGTCCTTTTTCACAAGATTCAACAAAAGGAGCAAAGAATATGTCATGTTGATACAAATCCTTTATGTGTTCAAAACCCAACAACCTAGCATTCAAAGTATTGAGGAGGACATACCTTCGTGATAAAGCATCTGCAACAATGTTCTCCTTACCTTGTTTATATCTTATGACATAAGGGAATGTTTCAATAAATTCTAACCACTTAGCATGTCGTCTGTTGAGTTTATTTTGTACTCTCAAATGCTTTAAACTTTCATGATCCGTATGAATAATGAACTCCTTAGGCTAAAGATAATGTTGCCAGGTTTGCAATGCACGAACCAAAGCATAAAGCTCTTTGTCATAAGTTGGATACCTCAAAGATGCACCAGTCAACTTCTCACTAAAGAACATTAAAGGTCTTTGATTTTGCATTAATATAGCACCTATCCTTACTTCACTAGCATCACATTCAATTTCAAAAGTAGACTCAAAATTAGGTAATGCAAGCAAAGGAGCAGAACTCAATTTTTCTTTCAAAGTATTAAAAGCAAGTTCTTGATCTTTTTCCCATATAAAGGATACATTTTTCTTAACAAGTTCATTCAAGGGTGAAGCAATTGTACTAAAATTCTTAATGAACCTACGGTAGAAACTTACAAGACCATGAAAACTTCTTACCTCACTTACATTTTTAGGTGTAGGCCACTCTTTTATAGCCTTCACTTTCTCCTCATCAACCTCAACACCATTAGATGAAACTACAAACCCAAGAAAGT